CTTATTAATATACCAAAACAAATGGGTTCCGAGGAATAATGCGTAATTGTGAAATAATAATTTATTGTGAAATAATAACGAAATGGTAACAAAGATAGGTGCACTGTTACCTACATAACTGGGCAACTTAAGCAAATCAGAAATAATATACAGAAAAATTAGTTATGTCAGCAGCACATAATAAATATAAATTATAGAAAAATTATATACATTGAGGCTATGGAAATGCGAGAAATTTAAGTTTAGCATTGCTGGTAATCATTAGGTCAAGACCCGAGCCAGCAGGTCTTGAGGATGATGGCGTTTCAGTATTCTCCTGACCGTAGTGCGATGACTCGGCGTTAGTCGCCTAGCTGGGCTGTTAGGATGACCTCCAAGCCTCTCCGTGTATTTTTGTGCAAACGCCCGAATTTTATCGCCAATTTTTGGTACTTTGAAGTCGGGCTCGATGTCCGCCGTTCTCATGTACCATGGAGCTCCTGAGATCCTCCTCAGCGTCTTGGCTTGAAGTACTCGTATTTTGTTGAGGTGGGTTTTAGCTGTGATACCGTACACCTGTATTGCGTAGAAAAAGTTCGGAGCTGGAATGCACTTGAAAATTCGAACCTTGTTGTCCAGCGAAAGCTTGTTTTTAGCGGAGAGTAGCCAGGGCATGCGATTTAACTTAGTTCTATAAGAATGCAGCAGCGACTTGACATTGCTTTCGAGTATGAGCTTTCTGTCTAGAATGACTCCTAGATATTTGTGTGATGTTGAGTGAGTTAACACTCTACCATTAAGCGTCACACTCGGGCAGTTTAGCGCCCGATTTGCGAAGGTCACGTTTGCGCATTTATCTGAAATGCATCTAGATATTCTTGGAGACCTATTTTTGCCAGGTCTATGGAGCTGTTTCTGGTGAGCACCGCGGTATCGTCAGCGTAGGTTGCAACCAGCGTATCCCTTCCTGCAAGTGCTGTGATTGACGAGTGGTTTGGCATGTCGTCAGAGAATAGTGTATACAATGTAGGGCCAAGCACACTACCTTGTGGAACGCCCGCTTCTATGGGCCTGGACAGTGCTGAGACGGCATGTCTGGCATGCGCGACCGCTCAGTCGCCTCCTCTTTTCATATATATATGTATAGATACAGTGGCTCACAGCTTATTTGACCCACACCTATTTTTCAACATTAAACAGGTAAAACTCCTGAACCATAAGAGATACCCATTAAATAAAACGTAGAAAGGTTAACTGTTGTTTTAACTTAAAAAATATTTTTTCAATTATTTATTATATCAAGGAACTTCTTAATTAAACAATAAAAACTATAAATACTGCCTTATTCAACGTCACAGCTTATTTGACCCAGTTCATCAAATTAACTATAAAAAATTGCAAAAAAAATATTTTTTTAACTTTTAGTATTTGGTATGTCCGCTCTTTTGGTCCACAACCGACTTCAGTCGATTGGGAATAGATTCGACCAATTTTTTTGTGGTTTCTGGGGTGATTTTAGCCCATTCTTAGAGCAAAGCCGTCTTCAAGTCATTTTTATTGGAAATATTGCGCTCCCGAATTTTTGAGTCCAGCAAAGCCCACAAATTTCTCAATAACATTAAAATCGGGTGACTGAGCTGGCGATTTCATTATATGGGGGCAATTATAACCCAGCCCATATTGAACTATACTCGACTTTTGCTTTGGGTCATTGTCTTGGTAGAACCCTGTTTTTTTTCCCAATTTCTCAGCACTTTGGAGTAAATTATCCCTAAGGATATTGAGATAAACATTTTTATCTATTGTGTTTTCAATAAATTTAAGGTTTCCGACTCCTGCTGCGGACTTACAGGCCCAAACCATAACGTGTACGCCGTCATGCTTAACGGTGGGTTTTAGATGTTTGTCCTGCAGCTCTGTATTGGCTTTACGCAATACGTAAGAACGTCCTTCGGACCCAAAAATATAAAATTTTTACTCATCAGCGAAAATGACGTAATATTTTGGGGTCCAATGAGCAATTTTTATACCCTTGCAGAGGGTATTATAATTTTGGTCCAAAGTGTGCAACGCAGTGAAGGAGACATCTCCGACCCTATAAAGTATATATATTCTTGATCTGCCATGATATAGCCATGTCCGTCTGTCCGTCTGTCTGTTTCTACGCAAACTAGTCTCTCAGTTTTAAAGCTATCGAGTTCAAACTTTGCACACACCCTTCTTTCCTTTGCACGCAGGGATCGGCCGACTATATCCTATAGCTGCCATATAACTGATTGATCGGAAATGCCATAATTTTGGTGTTTGTAAAGTTAGGAAGCTGGGATTTTCTATGGCTTTTATATTTGGCCAATCAGTCCGACCTACCAAATTTCATAAGGATCGGCCGACTATATCCTATAGCTGCCATATAACTGATTGATCGGATATGCCATAACTTTGGTGTTTGTAAAGTTAGGAAGCTGGAATTTCCTATGGGTTTTATATTTGGTCAATCAATCCGACCTATCAAATTTCATAAGGATCGGCCGACTATATCCTATAGCTGCCATATAACTGAACGATCATAAATGCCATAACTTTGGTGTTCTTAAAGTTAGGAAGTTGGGATATTTTATAAGTATTAAGAATGCATCATATGAATAATTTTGGAGAATATAATATACAGAATATTCTGCAAGGGTATATCAACTTCGGCTCCGCCCGAAGTTAGCTTTCCTTTCTTGTTTATAATTAATTTGATGAACTGGGTCAAATAAGCTGTGACGTTGAAAAAGGCAGTATTTTTTGTTTTTATTGTTTCATTAAGAAGTTCCTTGCTATAATAAATAAATGAAAACATATTTTTTAAGTTAAAACAAAAGTTAACCTTTCTGCGTTTTATTTTTATGGGTATCTCTTATGGTTCAGGAGTTATAGCTGTTTAATGTTAAAAATTAGGTGTGGGTCAAATAAGCTGTGTGTCACTGTAGTTATTTATCGAAACCAAATTTTTTTTTATAAAAAAGGTTTTTTTCTGTCAATGCTTTCCGCAAAAATTAACTAATACGCCTATGAAAGTCTGACGAAAAGAAAAAGAATGACTCGGAAAAAACTTTATTTTCAATGTAAAGTGGTTAACGAAATGATGGAACGGGAACCATCAAAAATTGTTACCCGAGATTTCTATATCAAAAATATGAAAATTTTAATTTTGCAATATATTTTGATGTTTTATTTTATACCTTGTATACCCGTAATTCGTAAAGTAAGATGGGTTTAACAAACTTATAAAACTGATAGGGATCCTTTGCACTTTTTATATGTGTTGATTTTAAGGTTCTTAACTCGACGGGTTTCAAAGATACAAAAGCCCATGACGTGTTCAAAGAATTACCTATAAAGCTTATTTGCTGGATATCTCCCGTTCTTCGACAGTGTCGAATTATGGCTAAAATTTAGGAAACAAATTCCTTCGAACACGAATGAAGACATATGTAGCAAAAGGAATTCCCGTAATTCGTTCAACGAGTTCCGAGAAATCGGAGTAAGAAGTGGTTGGTTCAAATAAGCTGTGAGATGTTAATAGTATTATTATTCACCATATACATACTTGGTGTTGATGATTAAACTTCTCTGTATTTTAGTATCCAAACCAAAATTTGATTTTCATGGATAAAAATGTTTTTTGTTAATGCTTTTCATTGGCTTTTCGGAAAACTAATATTATGGATACAATACGCCTTTCAAAGTCTAATGAAAAGTAAATTTAAGCACAAAAAAAACTTTATTTTCAAAGTACAGTGGTTCACGAAATGATGTCACAGAATGCTTAGAATATTTTTAGTAAACGGACGAACTAAGCTAGAGATTCAAACGCTGGAGTTCTCATGAACAACTAAACTTTTACTCTACGAGTAACGGGTATAAAGTTTGTTTTTATCTTTGGTTCTCTTCATTCCTCTTTGAACGTTATTTCAAATCACTATATTTTAAATTGAAAATGTATAGAAACAAGAATCTTAACAAGAAGAACACTATAGTGTCGAACTCCACGACTATCAAAAAACGTAATTTTTTAAATCAGTTTTATAACAAATATGCCCCTAATAGATGGTACTGGCGCTAAAGTGAATTTATCTGCTAGCGCTGACGTCATTGTTCTTGTTTAACTTAATTTTGAATAAATTCTAAAACAATTTAAAAGTAAAGTCTAAAACAATTTAAAGTAAAAGTTAAAAAAAAGTTAAGGTTTACGCCAGTAGAATTTGGTGTGTTTTTTAATCGTTTTAATTATTGAATATGACCGATGCCATCGTTGTCTTATTTTCTTCTCGATCGGAGCTTGACAGCACATCTTTCAGTTCTACTTCTATCATTTTATAAATTCGTGCAAAAACGGAGTATCAGTCAAGTTTGTGTAGATTTTGTGCAACCGGTTTAAGATGATGAGGAAAAACTTGATCGGTTGTTCTTAATTTCGATATAAATTGTCCAGCTCCTTCGTTGGTCTTTACTTCAGCTATGGTACTTTCCTAAGCTTTGGTATACTTTGAGTCTAGCACAACAATGAGTTTAACAGATATCCGACCTTATCAAAAATAGATCTGCGTAGTCGACAATACCAAATAAAATGGTGGTAGATCCCTGACTTAGTGTGTTAGCTTAGTTTTTCCAGAATTGAACCGCATGTTTGTGCGTTACGCAACATTGAGCATAAAATACAAATATCGCTCTCACAGCCACTAAAAAGAGGTTTTGTTCTCGGCTTAAGAGAACAACCCAAAAACAGGAGAGTAGCCCTGTCCGTCTGTCCGTCTGTCCGTCCGTTCGTCGGTCCGTCCGTTTCTACGCAAACTTGTCCCTCAGTTTTAAAGCTATCTGATTGAAACTTTCCCAAATGTTGTCTTTCTATTGCAGGTAGTATATAAGTCAGAACGAGCCGGATCGGGCGACTATATCATATAGCTGCCAAAGGAACAATCAGAAAAAAAATTTTAAAAAATTATTACTTTTTGTTTTGTTCTGTGCTGCTTGCACAATGGACAATCCGTTCAACGGATGGTAGATGGTATATGGATATCTGTGGGAAGACGCCATCAAGTCTAGTTATTTCGACTTTTGCTTACTTAACTTGATAACACCATAACCCGACGTAGATTGGATATAGCCTTCCATGCGTGTGAAAATAAGCCCGAAAATTGTATCCAAAAATGTTGTTAAAGATATTTTATGACAAATTATGAAGTAACAAATTATATTTTGTAAATATCAGAATAACGATACAGGACTATTTGATAAGCGTGACTACGATAGCGTGCAGGGACCATAAATATTTTAAAAATAAAAATGATATCGAGCTTTCCTAAATGTTCGATTTCTACTATGTATAACGACACTGTATCTTGCCAATAAGACGAAAGTCTGTACCTATATGTATATGGCCACATTTTTTAAGATTTATAGATGTGAATTTAATTAATAGCCATAATAGAAAACTTGGTGCTCCTATGATTATATTTCTCGATAGACCCTATTTGTTAACGAATATAATAAACGTTAAACTCAGGTGCAGTTTTGTTCACTATTTACAATTAACCACTATATATATCTGCTTCCGTATCGTTCAACGTTATTTCATAAACATTAAATTATCAGGACAACATAAGTGCCCATCAATAAATCACTCAGGGAAAAGTTTTTAATAGCAGGTGCAACACCTAATAAAAACAACAGTATGATGACAGCATACTTATTAATATACCAAAACAAATGGGTTCCGAGGATTAATGCGTAATTGTGAAATAATAATTTATTGTGAAATAATAACGAAATGGTAACAAAGATAGGTGCACTGTTACCTACATAACTGGGCAACTTAAGCAAATCAGAAATAATATACAGAAAAATTAGTTATGTCAGCAGCACATAATAAATATAAATTATAGAAAAATTATATACATTGAGGCTATGGAAATGCGAGAAATTTAAGTTTAGCATTGCTGGTAATCATTAGGTCAAGACCCGAGCCAGCAGGTCTTGAGGATGATGGCGTTTCAGTATTCTCCTGACCGTAGTGCGATGACTCGGCGTTAGTCGCCTAGCTGGGCTGTTAGGATGACCTCCAAGCCTCTCCGTGTATTTTTGTGCAATCGCCCGAATTTTATCCCCAATTTTTGGTACTTTGAAGTCGGGCTCGATGTCCGCCGTTCTCATGTACCATGGAGCTCCTGAGATCCTCCTCAGCGTCTTGGCTTGAAGTACCCGTATTTTGTTGAGGTGGGTTTTAGCTGTGATACCGTACACCTGTATTGCGTAGAAAAAGTTCGGAGCTGGAATGCACTTGAAAATTCGAACCTTGTTGTCCAGCGAAAGCTTGTTTTTAGCGGAGAGTAGCCAGGACATGCGATTTAACTTAGTTCTATAAGAATGCAGCAGCGACTTGACATTGCTTTCGAGTTTGAGCTTTCTGTCTAGAATGACTCCTAGATATTTGTGTGATGTTGAGTGAGTTAACACTCTACCATTAAGCGTCACACTCGGGCAGTTTAGCGCCCGATTTGCGAAGGTCACGTTTGCGCATTTATCTGCATTGATGCACACGTTCCAAATCCTAGCCCATTCCTGAAATGCATCTAGATATTCTTGGAGACCTATTTTTGCCAGGTCTATGGAGCTGTTTCTGGTGAGCACCGCGGTATCGTCAGCGTAGGTTGCAACCAGCGTATCCCTTCCTGCAAGTGCTGTGATTGACGAGTGGTTTGGCATGTCGTCAGAGAATAGTGTATACAATGTAGGGCCAAGCACATTACCTTGTGGAACGCCCGCTTCTATGGGCCTGGACAGTGCTGAGACGGCATGTCTGGCATGCGCGACCGCTCAGTCGCCTCCTCTTTTCATATATATATGTATAGATACAGTGGCTCACAGCTTATTTGACCCACACCTATTTTTCAACATTAAACAGGTAAAACTCCTGAACGATAAGAGATACCCATTAAATAAAACGCAGAAAGGTTAACTGTTGTTTTAACTTAAAAAATATTTTTTCAATTATTTATTATATCAAGGAACTTCTTAATTAAACAATAAAAACTATAAATACTGCCTTATTCAACGTCACAGCTTATTTGACCCAGTTCATCAAATTAATTATAAAAAATTGCAAAAAAAATATTTTTTTAACTTTTAGTATTTGGTATGTCCGCTCTTTTGGTCCACAACCGACTTCAGTCGATTGGGAATAGATTCGACCAATTTTTTTGTGGTTTCTGGGGTGATTTTAGCCCATTCTTAGAGCAAAGCCGTCTTCAAGTCATTTTTATTGGAAATATTGCGCTCCCGAATTTTTGAGTCCAGCAAAGCCCACAAATTTCTCAATAACATTAAAATCGGGTGACTGAGCTGGCGATTTCATTATATGGGGGCAATTATAACCCAGCCCATATTGAACTATACTCGACTTTTGCTTTGGGTCATTGTCTTGGTAGAACCCTGTTTTTTTTCCCAATTTCTCAGCACTTTGGAGTAAATTATCCCTAAGGATATTGAGATAAACATTTTTATCTATTGTGTTTTCAATAAATTTAAGGTTTCCGACTCCTGCTGCGGACTTACAGGCCCAAACCATAACGTGTACGCCGTCATGCTTAACGGTGGGTTTTAGATGTTTGTCCTGCAGCTCTGTATTGGCTTTACGCAATACGTAAGAACGTCCTTCGGACCCAAAAATATAAAATTTTTACTCATCAGCGAAAATGACGTAATATTTTGGGGTCCAATGAGCAATTTTTATACCCTTGCAGAGGGTATTATAATTTTGGTCCAAAGTGTGCAACGCAGTGAAGGAGACATCTCCGACCCTATAAAGTATATATATTCTTGATCTGCCATGATATAGCCATGTCCGTCTGTCCGTCTGTCTGTTTCTACGCAAACTAGTCTCTCAGTTTTAAAGCTATCGAGTTCAAACTTTGCACACACCCTTCTTTCCTTTGCACGCAGGGATCGGCCGACTATATCCTATAGCTGCCATATAACTGATTGATCGGAAATGCCATAATTTTGGTGTTTGTAAAGTTAGGAAGCTGGGATTTTCTATGGCTTTTATATTTGGCCAATCAGTCCGACCTACCAAATTTCATAAGGATCGGCCGACTATATCCTATAGCTGCTATATAACTGATTGATCGGATATGCCATAACTTTGGTGTTTGTAAAGTTAGGAAGCTGGAATTTCCTATGGGTTTTATATTTGGTCAATCAATCCGACCTATCAAATTTCATAAGGATCGGCCGACTATATCCTATAGCTGCCATATAACTGAACGATCATAAATGCCATAACTTTGGTGTTCTTAAAGTTAGGAAGTTGGGATATTTTATAAGTATTAAGAATGCATCATATGAATAATTTTGGAGAATATAATATACAGAATATTCTGCAAGGGTATATCAACTTCGGCTCCGCCCGAAGTTAGCTTTCCTTTCTTGTTTATAATTAATTTGATGAACTGGGTCAAATAAGCTGTGACGTTGAAAAAGGCAGTATTTTTTGTTTTTATTGTTTCATTAAGAAGTTCCTTGCTATAATAAATAAATGAAAACATATTTTTTAAGTTAAAACAAAAGTTAACCTTTCTGCGTTTTATTTTTATGGGTATCTCTTATGGTTCAGGAGTTATAGCTGTTTAATGTTAAAAATTAGGTGTGGGTCAAATAAGCTGTGTGTCACTGTAGTTATTTATCGAAACCAAATTTTTTTTTATAAAAAAGGTTTTTTTTCTGTCAATGCTTTCCGCAAAAATTAACTAATACGCCTATGAAAGTCTGACGAAAAGAAAAAGAATGACTCGGAAAAAACCTTATTTTCAATGTAAAGTGGTTAACGAAATGATGGAACGGGAAACATCAAAAATTGTTACCCGAGATTTCTATATCAAAAATATGAAAATTTTAATTTTGCAATATATTTTGATGTTTTATTTTATACCTTGTATACCCGTAATTCGTAAAGTAAGATGGGTTTAACAAACTTATAAAACTGATAGGGATCCTTTGCACTTTTTATATGTGTTGATTTTAAGGTTCTTAACTCAACGGGTTTCAAAGATACAAAAGCCCATGACGTGTTCAAAGAGTTACCTATAAAGCTTATTTGCTGGATATCTCCCGTTCTTCGACAGTGTCGAATTATGGCTAAAATTTAGGAAACAAATTCCTTCGAACACGAATGAAGACATATGTAGCAAAAGGAATTCCCGTAATTCGTTCAACGAGTTCCGAGAAATCGGAGTAAGAAGTGGTTGGTTCAAATAAGCTGTGATATGTTAATAGTATTATTATTCACCATATACATACTTGGTGTTGATGATTAAACTTCTCTGTATTTTAGTATCCAAACCAAAATTTGATTTTCATGGATAAAAATGTTTTTTGTTAATGCTTTTCATTGGCTTTTCGGAAAACTAATATTATGGATACAATACGCCTTTCAAAGTCTAATGAAAAGTAAATTTAAGCACAAAAAAAACTTTATTTTCAAAGTACAGTGGTTCACGAAATGATGTCACAGAATGCTTAGAATATTTTTAGTAAACGGACGAACTAAGCTAGAGATTCAAACGCTGGAGTTCTCATGAACAACTAAACTTTTACTCTACGAGTAACGGGTATAAAGTTTGTTTTTATCTTTGGTTCTCTTCATTCCTCTTTGAACGTTATTTCAAATCACTATATTTTAAATTGAAAATGTATAGAAACAAGAATCTTAACAAGAAGAACACTATAGTGTCGAACTCCACGACTATCAAAAAACGTAATTTTTATACCCTTGCAGAGGGTATTATAATTTTGGTCAAAAGTGTGCAACGCAGTGAAGGAGACATCTCCGACCCTATAAAGTATATATATTCTTGATCAGGATCACCTCCTGAGTTGATATAGCCATGTCCGTCTGTCCGTCTGTCCGTCTGTCCGTCTGTCCGTCTGTCTGTCCGTCTGTCTGTCCGTCTGTCTGTCCGTCTGTCTGTTTCTACGCGAACTAGTCTCTCAGTTTTAAAGATATCGAATTGAAACTTTGCACACACCCTTCTTTCCTTTGCACGCAGTATATAAGTCGGAACGGCCGGGATCGGCCGACTATATCCTATAGCTGCCATATAACTGATTGATCGGAAATGCCATAACTTTGGTGTTTGTAAGGTTAGGAAGTTGGGATTTTCTTTGGGTGTTATATTTGGCCAATTAATCCGACCTACCAAATTTCATAAGGATCGGCCGACTATATCTTATAGCTGCCATATAACTGATTGATCGGAAATGCCATAACTTTAGTGTTTGTTAAGTTAGGAAGTTGGGATTTTCTCTGGGCTTTATTTTTGCCCAATCAATCCGACGTACCAAATTTCATAAGGATCGGCCGACTATATCCTATAGCTGCCATATAACTGATTGATCGGAAATGCCATAACTTTAGTGTTTGTTAAGTTAGGAAGTTGGGATTTTCTATGGGCTTTATTTTTGCCCAGTCAATCCGACGTACCAAATTTCATAAGGATCGGCCGACTATATCCTATAGCTGCCATATAACTGATTGATCGGAAATGCCATAACTTTAGTGTTTGTTAAGTTAGGAAGTTGGGATTTTCTATGGGTTTTATTTTTGCCCAATCAATCCGACATATCAAATTTCATAAGGATCGGCCGACTATATTCTATAGCTGCCATATACATAACTGAACGATTGGAAATGCCATAACTTTGGTGTTTTTAAAGTTAGGAAGTTGGGATTTTTTATGAGTATTAAGAATGCAACATATGAATAATATTGGAGAATATAATTTGCAGAATATTCTGCAAGGGTATTTCAACTTCGGCTCCGTCCGAAGTTAGCTTTCCTTTCTTGTTTTTTAAATCAGTTTTATAACAAATATGCCCCTAATAGATGGTACTGGCGCTAAAGTGAATTTATCTGCTAGCGCTGACGTCATTGTTCTTGTTTAACTTAATTTTGAATAAATTCTAAAACAATTTAAAAGTAAAGTCTAAAACAATTTAAAGTAAAAGTTAAAAAAAAGTTAAGGTTTACGCCAGTAGAATTTGGTGTGTTTTTTAATCGTTTTAATTATTGAATATGACCGATGCCATCGTTGTCTTATTTTCTTCTCGATCGGAGCTTGACAGCACACCTTTCAGTTCTACTTCTATCATTTTATAAATTCGTGCAAAAAACGGAGTATCAGTCAAGTTTGTGTAGATTTTGTGCAACCGGTTTAAGATGATGAGGAAAAACTTGATCGGTTGTTCTTAATTTCGATATAAATTGTCCAGCTCCTTCGTTGGTCTTTACTTCAGCTATGGTACTTTCCTAAGCTTTGGTATACTTTGAGTCTAGCACAACAATGAGTTTAACAGATATCCGACCTTATCAAAAATAGATCTGCGTAGTCGACAATATCGAATAAGGTGGTAGGTCCCTGACTTAGTGTGTTAGCTTAGTTTTTCCAGAATTGAACCGCATGTTTGTGCGTTACGCAACATTGAGCATAAAATACAAATATCGCTCTCACAGCCACTAAAAAGAGGTTTTGTTCTCGGCTTAAGAGAACAACCCAAAAACAGGAGAGTAGCCCTGTCCGTCTGTCCGTCTGTCCGTCCGTTCGTCGGTCCGTCCGTTTCTACGCAAACTTGTCCCTCAGTTTTAAAGCTATCTGATTGAAACTTTCCCAAATGTTGTCTTTCTATTGCAGGTAGTATATAAGTCAGAACGAGCCGGATCGGGCGACTATATCATATAGCTGCCAAAGGAACAATCAGAAAAAAAATTTTAAAAAATTATTACTTTTTGTTTTGTTCTGTGCTGCTTGCACAATGGACAATCCGTTCAACGGATGGTAGATGGTATATGGATATCTGTGGGAAGACGCCATCAAGTCTAGTTATTTCGACTTTTGCTTACTTAACTTGATAACACCATAACCCGACGTAGATTGGATATAGCCTTCCATGCGTGTGAAAATAAGCCCGAAAATTGTATCCAAAAATGTTGTTAAAGATATTTTATGACAAATTATGAAGTAACAAATTATATTTTGTAAATATCAGAATAACGATACAGGACTATTTGATAAGCGTGACTACGATAGCGTGCAGGGACCATAAATATTTTAAAAATAAAAATGATATCGAGCTTTCCTAAATGTTCGATTTCTACTATGTATAACGACACTGTATCTTGCCAATAAGACGAAAGTCTGTACCTATATGTATATGGCCACATTTTTTAAGATTTATAGATGTGAATTTAATTAATAGCCATAATAGAAAACTTGGTGCTCCTATGATTATATTTCTCGATAGACCCTATTTGTTAACGAATATAATAAACGTTAAACTCAGGTGCAGTTTTGTTCACTATTTACAATTAACCACTATATATATCTGCTTCCGTATCGTTCAACGTTATTTCATAAACATTAAATTATCAGGACAGCATAAGTGCCCATCAATAAATCACTCAGGGAAAAGTTTTTAATAGCAGGTGCCACCCCTTAATAAAAACAACAGTATGATGACAGCATACTTATTAATATACCAAAACAAATGGGTTCCGAGGATTAATGCGTAATTGTGAAATAATAATTTATTGTGAAATAATAACGAAATGGTAACAAAGATAGGTGCACTGTTACCTACATAACTGGGCAACTTAAGCAAATCAGAAATAATATACAGAAAAATTAGTTATGTCAGCAGCACATAATAAATATAAATTATAGAAAAATTATATACATTGAGGCTATGGAAATGCGAGAAATTTAAGTTTAGCATTGCTGGTAATCATTAGGTCAAGACCCGAGCCAGCAGGTCTTGAGGATGATGGCGTTTCAGTATTCTCCTGACCGTAGTGCGATGACTCGGCGTTAGTCGCCTAGCTGGGCTGTTAGGATGACCTCCAAGCCTCTCCGTGTATTTTTGTGCAATCGCCCGAATTTTATCCCCAATTTTTGGTACTTTGAAGTCGGGCTCGATGTCCGCCGTTCTCATGTACCATGGAGCTCCTGAGATCCTCCTCAGCGTCTTGGCTTGAAGTACCCGTATTTTGTTGAGGTGGGTTTTAGCTGTGATACCGTACACCTGTATTGCGTAGAAAAAGTTCGGAGCTGGAATGCACTTGAAAATTCGAACCTTGTTGTCCAGCGAAAGCTTGTTTTTAGCGGAGAGTAGCCAGGACATGCGATTTAACTTAGTTCTATAAGAATGCAGCAGCGACTTGACATTGCTTTCGAGTTTGAGCTTTCTGTCTAGAATGATGTGATGTTCACACAAAGGGCAGTTTAGCGCCCGATTTGCGAAGGTCACGTTTGCGCATTTATCTGCATTGATGCACACGTTCCAAATCCTAGCCCATTCCTGAAATGCATCTAGATATTCTTGGAGACCTATTTTTGCCAGGTCTATGGAGCTGTTTCTGGTGAGCACCGCGGTATCGTCAGCGTAGGTTGCAACCAGCGTATCCCTTCCTGCAAGTGCTGTGATTGACGAGTGGTTTGGCATGTCGTCAGAGAATAGTGTATACAATGTAGGGCCAAGCACACTACCTTGTGGAACGCCCGCTACTATGGGCCTGGACAGTGCTGAGACGGCATGTCTGGCATGCGCGACCGCTCAGTCGCCTCCTCTTTTCATATATATATGTATAGATACAGTGGCTCACAGCTTATTTGACCCACACCTATTTTTCAACATTAAACAGGTAAAACTCCTGAACCATAAGAGATACCCATTAAATAAAACGCAGAAAGGTTAACTGTTGTTTTAACTTAAAAAATATTTTTTCAATTATTTATTATATCAAGGAACTTCTTAATTAAACAATAAAAACTATAAATACTGCCTTATTCAACGTCACAGCTTATTTGACCCAGTTCATCAAATTAATTATAAAAAATTGCAAAAAAAATATTTTTTTAACTTTTAGTATTTGGTATGTCCGCTCTTTTGGTCCACAACCGACTTCAGTCGATTGGGAATAGATTCGACCAATTTTTTTGTGGTTTCTGGGGTGATTTTAGCCCATTCTTAGAGCAAAGGCGTCTTCAAGTCATTTTTATTGGAAATATTGCGCTCCCGAATTTTTGAGTCCAGCAAAGCCCACAAATTTCTCAATAACATTAAAATCGGGTGACTGAGCTGTCGATTTCATTATATGGGGGCAATTATAACCCAGCCCATATTGAACTATACTCGACTTTTGCTTTGGGTCATTGTCTTGGTAAAACCCTGTTTTTTTTCCCAATTTCTCAGCACTTTGGAGTAAATTATCCTTAAGGATATTGAGATAAACATTTTTATCTATTGTGTTTTCAATAAATTTAAGGTTTCCGACTCCTGCTGCGGACTTACAGGCCCAAACCATAACGTGTACGCCGTCATGCTTAACGGTGGGTTTTAGATGTTTGTCCTGCAGCTCTGTATTGGCTTTACGCAATACGTAAGAACGTCCTTCGGACCCAAAAATATAAAATTTTTACTCATCAGCGAAAATGACGTAATATTTTGGGGTCCAATGAGCAATTTTTATACCCTTGCAGAGGGTATTATAATTTTGGTCAAAAGTGTGCAACGCAGTGAAGGAGACATCTCCGACCCTATAAAGTATATATATTCTTGATCTGCCATGATATAGCCATGTCCGTCTGTCCGTCTGTCTGTTTCTACGCAAACTAGTCTCTCAGTTTTAAAGCTATCGAGTTCAAACTTTGCACACACCCTTCTTTCCTTTGCACGCAGGGATCGGCCGACTATATCCTATAGCTGCCATATAACTGATTGATCGGAAATGCCATAATTTTGGTGTTTGTAAAGTTAGGAAGCTGGGATTTTCTATGGCTTTTATATTTGGCCAATCAGTCCGACCTATCAAATTTCATAAGGATCGGCCGACTATATCCTATAGCTGCCATATAACTGAACGATCATAAATGCCATAACTTTGGTGTTCTTAAAGTTAGGAAGTTGGGATATTTTATAAGTATTAAGAATGCATCATATGAATAATTTTGGAGAATATAATATACAGAATATTCTGCAAGGGTATATCAACTTCGGCTCCGCCCGAAGTTAGCTTTCCTTTCTTGTTTATAATTAATTTGATGAACTGGGTCAAATAAGCTGTGACGTTGAAAAAGGCAGTATTTTTTGTTTTTATTGTTTCATTAAGAAGTTCCTTGCTATAATAATTAAATGAAAACATATAGCGTCTGAAGATAATTACAGAGTATTATCGAAATATCTTTCCGAGAATAAAAAGAACTTTTACACGTATCAGCTAAAAAGTAGCAAGGGCCTGCAAGTCGTACTTAAGGGCATAGAGTCCGACGTAACGCCTGCAGAGATAACAAAGGCGCTTCAAGAGAAGGGATTTAACGCTAAGACAGTCTTCAACATCCTTAACAGGGATAGAAAGCCGCAGCCACTCTTTAAGGTTGAGCTCGAACCAGAAAATAAGCCCCTAAAGAAATACGAAGTGCACCCCATTTACAATCTTCAGTTCCTGCTGCACCGCAGAATTACAGTTGAGGAACCGCACAAACGCAATGGCCCGGTACAATGTGCGAACTGCCAAGAATATGGCCATACAAGGTCATACTGTAAACTGCGCCCGGTGTGTGTAGTTTGTGGAGATCTTCATGACTCCGCACACTGCCCAACGAGCAAAGATGACTGCAACTCGAAAAAGTGCGGCAACTGCGGTGGCAATCACACTGCTAACTACAGAGGCTGCCCTGTTTACAAGGAGCTGAAAAGTCGCATCCACCAGAGAGGAACTGCCGCCCGCACCCAAAATAAACAGATGACAGCTTCCAGATCAAACCCTGAAGTCTTCTTCTCGACTGCAGCCAGATCCTCACTAGGACCCTTAAACTCTGATAAAAATGTGACTTACGCAAGCGCTTTAAAATCAGGACTGGCTAACCCTGTCTCAAAAAGTTCATTTCTGCAATCAGCATACCAAGAACCGAACACGGCTCAGCAGCAACAATTCCCGGAGCAGTCAAAAAGCAACTTCGAAGATATGATATACAGCCTGCAGCAAAGCCTTACGGAGTTTATGTCGTTTATGCGCACAACTATGCAAGATTTAATGCGAAACCAAAATCTACTGATTCAAATGCTGGTTTCACAACAATCCAAATAATGACTTCCCTAAGGATATCTACGTGGAACGCTAACGGCGTCTCACAGCATAAACTTGAGTTAGCTCAATTCCTACTCGACAACCATATCGACGTAATGCTGCTTTCAGAAACACACCTTACAAATAAATACAATTTTCAACTACGAGGTTACTCATTTTACGGAACAAATCATCCAGATGGTAAAGCACATGGTGGGACTGGAATTCTAATCAGAAGCCGTATTAAGCACCACTATCATAACAAATTTGCTAAAAATTATCTACAGGCCACATCTATAAATATACAAACAAATACTGGCAACCAACTTACACTAGCCGCCGTATACTGCCCCCCTCGCTTCACCATAGCTGAAGATGAGTTTATGCAGTTTTTCAACTCACTAGGAGACCACTTCATAGCAGCAGGGGACTACAACGCCAAGCACACACACTGGGGATCACGTCTCGTGACTCCAAAAGGAAAACAGCTCTATAATGCAGTTATAAAAGCCAAGAACAAGCTGGACTATGTTTCTCCTGGCAGACCAACATACTGGCCGGCAGACCCAAGGAAACTACCCGATTTAATAGACTTTGCAATTACCAAAAACATTTCTAAAAATCTGATAAGCGCCGAATGCCTCTCGGATCTTTCATCGGATCACTCGCCTGTCCTGTTTATTCTTCTCCGACATCCAGGCGCATTGGAGCAATCGTTTAAATTGACATCTCAGAAAACCAATTGGGTTAAGTACAAGAAATACATTAGCTCACACATTGAGCTAAGTCCTCATCTCAACGATGAAGCCAACGTAGACAGATTTGTTAATACACTGGAGTCTGTACTCGTCTCTGCAGCTCGAGTTTCAACACCCCAAACTACAAGTACACAAAGCAACCAAAAGAAGACAAATCTACAAATAGAACAGCTCGTCCTCGAAAAGCGACGCTTACGTCGAGAGTGGCAACTCCACAGATCACCATCTGCTAGGCAAAGCTTAAAATATGCCTCACGTCAACTCACAAAAGCTTTACAGCAAGAAGAAGCACATGTCCACCGACGCTACATAGAGCAATTGTCAACATCTAGCACAAAACACTCACTATGGAGAGCTCACCCTACTCTAAGCTCACCGAAAGTAACCGTGATGCCTATTAGAAACCCCACAGGCGGCTGGGCGCGCAGCGATGCAGACAGAGCCAGCACGTTTGCCAACCA